CTTTTCGGGAGTTACGGCAAGACCATGGTTTGCCGGAAGCCCAATACAGAGCTGTACAGAAATCACATAAGGCCAACTGTGAAACACGGCGGGGAGAGTGTTATGGTTTGGGGCTGAATTTCCACAAAAGGAGTGGGTTTTTTGGTGTTTATTGATGGCATCATGAATCAAGATCAGTATTCAAAAATTTTAAAATAAAATTTTAAGGAGTCGGCGGAGAAAATGGCTTTTGGAAATACATTCAAATAAAATCAGGACAATGACCCATAGCACAAGGGCCTTAAACACAAGTCCTGGTTGCTTTAAAACTGTCCAAAGGTCTTGGAAACGCCGCTCCCATCATCTGATCTCAATCCCATTGAAAAATTGCGGAGTGAATTGGACCGCCGTGTACACCAAACGCCGATATCTTCCTTAGCAGATTAAAAAAAACGGCTTCAGAAGAGTGGGCGAAAATTGGCGGTGAATACACCAAAAAATTTTTTTAAATATGCCAAAACGTTTAAGCGATATCATTAAATATAATGGGTATCACATATAATATTAAAAAAATTTAAGTTTTAGATAAAATAGTTTTTTCTTAGTTCTACAAGGAAATACCGAATATTAATGTAATGCAATTTTCAGGGTTTTTTTTTGTTTAGATGTGATTCTTCTTTTAATTTTTAATAAAGTCCTAACATATGTATATCTATGTAAAGGTAATATTACAAACTTTAATATACCATTTTTCAAATTTCGATTTTTCTTAGTATTATACATGTTATTCGCGTTTAAAGTTGCAAAAAAACAAAAACCGAATATTAATGTGATACACTGTACATATAAACTTTGAATTGGGGTTTTTAGAATACTCATTGGTCTGCAGTATTAGTATCTTACTTACCCAGCGGGAAAGTGGGAAGTAGGTTTTTTTGTCCTGAAAAAACCAGTGGAAAACCTACTGCTTTTGGCAGGCGTAGGGGTAGGGATAGATGAAAACCTACTTCTTTTGGCAGGCGTTGGGAAGGGGTAAATAATTTCGGACCGCTAAATGGGGTGGGTTTCTGAATATGACCATAAGTTACAACGAAGTTGTGACTAATTACTGTCTTTCTTCGGAATGTTGTTATAAATTATGTTATGATGCACGGTCACATCAGTATAAAATTTCGTGCAAAAAGTGAAAAAAGTTCAGTAAACTCTAAAAAACAAGATAAAGGTAAGTTATAACATAAATATTTTTGTTTTTATACCCTTATTTCAGTGTTACGGATATGGTGAACATAGGCATTTTTCCAAAAACTACATTTTAGCCGCCGGAGGCCTTTGTCAAGTAAGTTTTTTATTTAAATTTATTTTTCAGTTTTACAAAAACAAACAATGTTTTTTTTTAGAATTTGTAATAGATTCGACTTCAAGGATTCTGGCCCTTGTGTTCATATTAACGGCAAAACTGAACGTGCGCAAGCGGACATTCCGATTTCGTCATTTGAAGAACTCGGCCATTTGGACTCCGATGCCGAAGCCAATCCAGAAGCATTTGTAAGTACTCACTAAATTTTTAATAAGTTTCAACAGCCCTGTTTTCCCATGCTTTTTACTATGTTTATTACTTATTTTTCTAAATTTCTCTATTTTTTCCATTACTTTTTATATATTTATTATTTGTATTAATATGTAATATATTAATGTATTATGGTTATTATTTTCAGAGTCACTCAGAAACGACAATTACAGACATCCCCAATAACAAGATGATCTGCGTTCACCGTTCACTAAGGCAAAAAATAAAACATACAACAATACTTTTGTCATAAAGCCCTTGGACTGTAAATAGATTAATAAATGCATATACCAAATTAAAAAGTATTGTTTTTTATTGCTGTTTTGCATGTGGAAATTCTGAAAAGCGGGAAGGCCAAAAACCAGTGGATTTTGTCCTGCGTTAGGCAGCAGGATTTCCACTGGTTTTTTCAGTACAAAAACCAGTGGATTTCCACTGGTTTTTTCAGGACAAAAACCAGTGGATTTTGCCCTGCTTTCGGCAGCTGTAGATCCAGTGGATTTTGCCCTGCTTTCGGCAGCTGTAGATCCAGTGGATTTTGTCTTGCTTTGAGCAGCTGTAGATCCACTGGAAAACCTCCTCAACCCCTGCCTTTTGTGTGTCACCCCCGTGTATTTGGCAAGGAGAGAAGGCAGAAAAGGAAGGGGTAGAGGAGGTTTTCCACACATTTCTTGTATGAAGAAAGCAGAGGAAAGAAGCATATTTTCCACAGGTTTTTTCCCGCTGGGTATTCGATGCACAAGTTTATATATATGTACATACATACATATGTATGTACATACTTGTACCAAATAATTAATTAACCCTTATCGAATGGTTTAAAAAGAGGAATACTTTATTGTAACACTTAGCCCTTAAATTTCGTATAATAATATAAAAAATATCCTTAACAAAATACATTTGTACATATTTTTTTCCCAATTTACGTCATTCGAAATGCATTAAGTTAGTAACCAAGGGAAAGTATTATTAATAAATCAAAAATTTACAATTTTCAGGTTTTTCATATGAAATACAATTTCAATAGGCCTTATTCTTGATTTCATCACCTTTGTAAACTTAAAGCTTTGTTATTTTCAATCCCACCAATTATTTAGATGGCCTGCATAATCATGACAAATGAAAAATACCACCCCCTACCTCCTCCAGCAACTCGGCATATTTTTTGTTTATTTTTCTTTATGGGGCCTGACAGCCAATTCGACGACACATAGCACTCATATTACGCTTAATCAGTTCTGCTCGGACCTTTTTTTATTTATTTTCCACTGCCCCAAGTAATTGGAGTTGCAAATGAAAAAGATTTACAAATAATATAAAAAAGTCAAGCTAAAAAACATAAGCAAAGCTGAAGAAAAACAAAGAACAAATCACAAAAATCGAGCCCCTTTTTCTGTTTTATCCCTGTTTGCCATTCCTCTTCCTCCCCCTTTGTTTCTTTTTTCTTTGCACTTATTCGCTTGTTGCATGCTCGCTCATGTTCATGTTTTTTTTTATCTTGGGCGTTTATGTGTGCTTGAATTTCATCATCTTGGGAAATCCTTGCATAATGTATCTGAAATCGTTAGTTTATCTTTGTAGTACTTTATCGGCAAATTTTTGACCTCAATTAATCTTGCGCAGATTTAAAAACACAAAAAAGGGTTTAAATTTAATTGTTGTGTTTAATGTGGAAAACTGATTTAAAAGAATTACGCAACAATTCTTAATAAATGTATGAAAAATAACATTTATGAACAAAATTTACAGAAACTAAAATGTTTTTTCAAATACTATTCACAAAATGTTTTGAAGCAATCAAATCAGCTATAAACATTTTTTAAATAACCTCTTTAATTGACTGCTGGCTTGTAAATTTCTTAAAATGTTCTTTAAATCCTAAATTTACTAAAAGACGACGTTTAAATTAGATTTAAAAGCATAAATGTCTTTTGGGCGTATTTCGTAATAAATTTTTCATAAACATTTTCGCGCGCAAAGTTAAGGAAGACAGAGAAGGGGATATAAAAATAAAGATAGAGGAAAAATCCTGTTTATGTGGAGGATCCAAGAGGGGGAACACAGAGGCTGAGAGGAGTAGAAACAAAAACTGGTTTTTCATGTTGCACAGTCAATTTTTGATATATGGTGAAATTAAAAAAGAAATAACCAATATCCAAATCAGAAAAACTTTAAGAACTTAATTTAAAAATTTCTAACAGGAATTATTTTTCTTCGATTCTATTTTCTTCTAACAGGAAATATTTTTCTTCGATATTGGACTGGATGTTTATCAGATAAAACTAGATTTATCTTTATTTATCTAAATTATTTTTAAAACAATCTTTACCTTTAACAAATATTTTATTAAAACTAAGGCTCATTATGCACAACTACAAGTATGAAATAAGCTTTACCGCATTTCTCCTTTGCTTAAATAAAAAAAAAATAATTTCAGCAAAGCAATTATCAGACTCTAATGATCCCTTAATCTAGAAATTACGAAGATTAGTTTTTATTGAGCGGATAGTTTAGGATACCTATTATGGATCTCAAGTTAAAATGTTTGTTTTATTTTATAAAAACCTATTCTTTATTATCTACTACCTTTTTATACTCTTTGTAAACGCTTACAAAATCTGCTCCCTTTTGCCCATACTCTTTCTACTGCGCTTTTGAGACCTCTTCAAAACGCTGGCTCTCCCTCTGTTCGCTGTTCGCTCTCTTTTTTTTAATAAATAAAAAATCAAAAGGCAAGAGCAAAATCCTAAGACAACAACAACATGCGAAGAGAGCATTGTACAATCGCAGTTTTTGTTTTGCTTTGATGTTCGCTGGGCAGCGCAGTCGACGTCGCTGCCTTTGCTCCTTCTTCTCCATTTACCTGCTCAACAAGATCTTTGTGTACCCACACACACACGCACTGAGCCTGCCCACTCACTCTCATTTTGAAAAATAAAGAACATTTACTTCGGTGTCCCGACTAAGGTGTACTTCTCTTTTTAAAGATTTCATCCGTATAATTAGTTCTAAGTCTTCTAAGTTGTTAATCTCCTCTTCACGTTAAAGATTTAGTGCTTAGTTTTCCAACGTTTATAATTCATTTTAATGGTCAATTCCAAATCATAAACTATTACACAAGCCTTACAAATTGTGAAAATCGCATAGTACTTTTATCTGTTACTGTACAGATATCTTTGTGATTATACAAATTCGTTCACTGCCTTTCGCTCAGCTTGTAATGGGTACACAAAGAGCAACGTTTTTTTCAGTTTATTTTTCTCTCGCCGCTCCCCCGCCCCCAACTACCTGCATGCATGTGCATGTGCAGGAGCGGGAGCAGGAGCGAGCGAGAGCGAGAGAGCTTGCACTGGCTGCGGCCTACGTTGCGCCTACGCCGCCTCTCTGCTAGCGTCGCTGCCGAGGCGCTGTGCTGCTGCCGTAGTTTGAGGCTCCAAAGCGCACAGAAATTTTTTAGCCGCGGAGCCAGTAAGACGTGTTTTCTGCCCTCTCTCTTTGAGTCTGCGACACGTTTTAAGTGCTCTTCCCCAACTGACAACAACAGCAGAAACAAATAACAAAAAATAACAAAATAGAATCAATCGCGAAAAAAGTTGTTTGTGTTTTTAAATCAGTTCCGAAAACGAAAAGGCTTGATGAAAAACGCAAAAGAATCCGAAAAACTAACTAAACGAGCGAAAAATTGACTTGAGTGTTGTTGCTTGACAAATCAAGGAAAAAACAAAACATAACAAAAAACTGCACGAAAAATGCGAAAGTTTCTAATATTCAAAATCTTGCACAAGAAATACAAAATCAATTAAAGTGAACTCTAACCAAAAGTTATAAAAAAAGCAAAACAAACCAGCGAAGAACAATCAGAAGAAGAGCGAAGCGCATACAAAGAGCAGGAAGGAAGGAAACGGATAAGGACAAAAAGGAAGCCAGCCCACAAACACACACCCGAACACCCACACACCCACACAATGGCCGTGCCCTTTTATTTGCCCGAGGGCGGCGCCGATGACGTAGCCTCGAGTTCATCGGGAGCCTCGGGCAACTCCTCCCCCCACAACCACCCCCACGCCCACGTCCATCCGCACCCGCCCCTCTCGGCGTCCTCCTCCTCGTCGGGCGTGTCCTCCGCCTCCTCGTCCTCCTCGGGAGTCTCCTCCTCGGCCTCCTCCTCCTCGGACGGCACCAGCAGCGTCGCCTCGCAATCGCCGAACACCACCACCTCGTCGGCCACGCAGACGCCGATGCAGTCGCCACTGCCCACAGACCAGGTGCTCTACGCCCTCTGCGAGTGGGTCAGGATCTACCAGAGCCAGCAGAGCGGTAAGTCAAGAATATTTACTGAACAAATTATAAGCTGTTATAAAGGAAGGAAATCCAAGATATGTGTCTTTTTAAGACAAACCAAACTGTGGCTCGAGAAAATCTTTTTTCCAAAAAGTTTCTTAGATTACCTCAATTTCTCACAGAACAAGTTAAGAATCTACTACAGTCAGCAAGTCGGTGCAATAGAATTTTTCGCAAGTAAAAATTAAAACGATTGAAAGTTGTCAGAAAGAACTTATTTAGTTTAGAAATCAAAAAACAAAAATAGAAATAGGAAAAGAATTAAAGAAATATGTATATAATCGAGCCAAAAGTTTAAAATATGAAGGAAAGAATTCTTTTTTGGGAACTTCTTAAGATTTTTTTGCGAAAATGTATAATGCAAAGAACTTAATATCTATGGGAAAATAATGAAAAGGACTATTATAAATTTTATTAATAATTTATAATAACTTATCTTTAAATGCTTTTAACTTATTTTGAAAGTCCTCAACATAAAGAGATTCCTAAAGTTTGTTCTTTTTCTTTTTTGTTAAAATGAAAAGCAAAGCTCTTTGATAGAATCTTTTTATTATAATTAAAAAAAACAGTGATATATATAAATATCTTTGCCTGAAACAGCATCTGAAAGATTGAACCACTAATTTCAAATCCTTTTTTTTAATTGCTCTCGATTCGAACAACCGTGGTCAAGTTCAGAAGGACGTATTTTGCTTTTAAGAAACTTTTTCTCATTCTTAAATGGGTCAGCTAATTAGCCAAGTTGATGTTGTGACTTTATTTGTTAACTGCTTCAGTTCCCCTTGTGCAAGTTTCACTTTTCAAGGTTGTTGACTCATCCAGCGATCCGAACACTGCGTAAACTGCCTCCAGGTTGTTTTGTTTTCTTTTTCCCTGTTTTTTTTTGTTTTTGCATTTTTTGTGTATGGTCAGGTCAGCACTTTGTCAGCTTATCAGCTAAAAAAAAAGGGAGAGCGGAAGGGAACAACACGAATTTTGCATTAAATTACTCGGCCACACTCGAAAGGAAGCCGCAACCGAAAACGGTAATTCAATAAAAATTAATCGAACAAGTTCAAAAAGGGGAAAATTGAGAAGTAATTGAGAAGTTTCGATTGGGGGAGGGAGCTGACCAAATAAACTGGAAGTCGCAAAAATGCAAAAACACAAACAAGTGGGGAATTACTGGAGAGGCCGTATTGAGTTACAATTAATTTGTAAACAATTTTAGTTAATCAGGTCGTAAGGTAGATAAACATCAAATTGAAGATTATATTTTCGAGCTTACAATGTAAATGAGAATTAAGATACAATTACATGGGAAATAATGCTTAACCTGTACTGAAAAAGTAAGTGATTAAAGTAGGATTGATACATGCTAACTATTCCAATAAAGAAGATTAGGATCAGATCCGAGTTCCCCTTGGGTAAAACTCCTCCAAGTAGGCCCATAAATCTCCCACCAATCCCGACCAAAATCTGTTAATGTGGTGAGCTCTACACAAACAGCGGGACAGATGCAAGACAACTGCCAACTTGGCTGTCATGCGATATTGCCCGAGTCTGTGGCCAACAAAAAATTGGGCGTGTGCTGCTGGTCCAGCGGAGAGCGAGGAAATAAAGACCTGGCCATAAGCAGGGGAACATAAGCAAAAAAAAAGAGGTAAAACAGAGCTGGGAGCCAAGAGCTAAGCACGTTTAATTGGCACGCGCCAAACTCGAGTCGAATGTCTTACTTTTGAGTGTGTGGCCGAGTATCTGGGTATCCGCCAGATACGTATCTCAGTCGCAGCGCCCCTATCTGTTACAGTTCGTTCGGCTAACCCAAATTATTAAACGCCATTTGACCTTAGGCAACTAGTTTTCCGATTTTCCGAGGGGGCCGAACGGGCCGAGGGTGTGGGCCATTTGCAAAGTGTTTGACTTAACGGTTGTTTAAGTAGCTTTTGTGCTCGGCCGCGTTGAGTGCGGTCAGTTTTTTTTGTATTTTTTTTTTTGTTTCGGTCTTTATTGTTTTTCTTTTTTTTTTTGCGCGCTTTTCATGTTTGCTTTGCGGTTTTTCATTCGCGTTCCTTAATTTTGTGTTGCCTTTGCATAATAGATTTTGTCGCTGTCGATGATTGCCAGCTGCGGTCTAGCTCCACCAAAAGCCGAATTGTTGTTTTATTATTCTCGGTTTTTTATTTGGTGTCTTACCTTTTTCGCGTCTGTCAGCAACAGTTGGTCAAGCCAAAAAAAAAGATAGTTCCCTTCTTGGTTTTGGCGTGACTCACTTTTGGGCGTTTCAATTTCGGCTTTAAACATCATATTTTATAATTATTTGCTGGGTTGTAGTTCAGCCAATGTGCTGTTGAAGCGAAATTGTTGGGGAGATTTGGGGAGAGATATCCGTATTTAAATTCAGGCTTGTAATTTTCCATCCCTTCCCCTACATCTTTAATCCCCTAATTGCTCCACTCTGGCAGATCATGTGCTTCAGTTAGCCACTCAAGTGGATAATTTATCTAATAGTGACACATCCCGAAACTAGTGAACAATGCTTAAGGCACTTGAAACTTGAACGGGATAAACTGTAGTTAACCAAGAAGCGAGCACCCTTTTTCCTGGTTCCCCCAGCTTGGAGATACATACATGTACATGTATGTGAGCCAGAGCCACAGAATACTTTTAGCCACAAACGCGCTTAGTCATCAGCCAGCTATCAACCCTAAAAGCCTAAAAATGCGAGGCGCAAACAACCCCGACAAAAATTCCTAAATACCAACAGAGCTCTTCCCAACCAAAAACAAAAAACGCAGGAGGGAGCCTTTTGTTTTGGGAGAGGATTAAGCAGGCAGCATCCAAACAGCTAACACCCACCCTGTTCCCACTCCGAATGGAGCCCAACAAAAGGTGCAATGACAGCAGAGGTTCCTAATCAGTGATGGGAAAAAGGCACATCATATCTGTACCTCAGGGCATAGAAATATAAAAAATCAAATTGGGGTTACATAATATGAGTTAATTTTAACATGGTAAATACATTTTAAACAAAAATCCCAAAGTATTTTTTTATTAACAAGAAAGGAAGCTAGCTTCGGCAAGCAATCATGATTTTCTGATAAGAAATAACAATGTTATCATTTTATTTCCGTTAATTCTATATAGATTTTTCGATCTTTCTTATGGCAGCTATATGATATAGTTGTCCGATTTTTATGAAATTTTTTTTATAAATCAAGGCTAGTTAAAAAACTTGATACTCAAAAAATCATGCTCGTGGGATAAAAAACAGCGATGCTATCAATTTATTTCCATTAATTCTATATATATTTTTCGATCTCTCCTATGGCAGCTATATGATTGAGTTATCCGATTTTGATCAAATTTAATCTGAAATTCAATAACAGTTGGAAAACGCCATCTTGAAGAATTCAAGTCGATCTGATGAAAAACAACGGCGGGAGAATTTTTCATTTCATTCCCTCGTATGGGAGCTATCCGATATAGTCGGCCGATCCGGCCCGTTCCGACTTATATACTGCGTGCAATAACTACACACCTTTTGGGAAAGTTTCAGCAAGATAGCTTTAAAACTGAGAGACTAGTTTGAAGAGAAACAGACAGACGGACAGACGGACAGACGGACAGACGGACAGACGGACAGACGGCCAGACGGACAGACGGACAGACGTACAGACGTATTCTGATTCTACTCGTGATGCTGATCAAGAATATATATACTTTATGGGGTCTGAGGTGTCTCCTTCACTGCGTTGCAAACATCTGACTGAAATTATAATACCCTTTTGCTCTGCAAGGGTATAAAAACTGCAGTAAAACTATAGTTTTTACATTATAAATTGAGTATTACATATTTTATGTCAGTTATAATTGATTTTTTTTTTAAAGTTAATTTATTTAAGTTAATTTATTTAAAACCTTTTAAATTAGTACCTTGTACCAACGACTGAAAATAGATACTTCCCATCACTGTTCCCACTTCGCCAAACCCCCAATTCTTTGTAGCTCCGTTTTGGCATGCAAATTCGCATCATTCGCCTGGCTTGGCTTTATTTTGCCGTTTGCTGTTGCCAACAGCTGTTTTGCTGCTAGGCGTTGTTTTTCGCTGCCGGCGTCTCTGCCGCACTTGACATTTTCAACCATTTTGTTTTGCTCGGCAACTTCGTGGATGCCTAGCCGAAGTTAACGGTAGAGAGGAGGCATAATGGCGGCAAAAATGGCGACTCCTTTCCTTTCCGCATCCTGCCTGGCAACAAAAACACAGCTGACTGCTGCGCAGGATGAGAGAGCTATATCGAAAGAGAGAGAGAGGGAGACATGCCGGAAGAACGAGAGGGCACATAGAGGCTCCGATTAACCGCAAGTTTTTGAACTCCTCGTTTTTTTGTACAGCCTACCCAAAGGGGGCGGGAAAATGGTGGAGGATGGGAAGTTGCCTCCGCTTTCATCATCGTCATTTGCATCTCGATTTGTTTGGCCTGTTGCCAAGCTGATTTATATACAGCAGGCATTTTATTTTATTTTTTTTACTTTACTCTTTCTCTGTTTCTCCCGTTGTGGGCTTTATTTTTTGCATTTTTCGTTGTTATTATGACTTGCTTTTACATTGACCGTGAATTTTTGTTGCCCTCTGTTTTTGTTTCGTTTTTCTTTAATTTTATGTTGCAATTTGTGTTTTTTATTGAGTTGCGTCTCTTGTAATTGTTTCATTTCATTTAAGTTTTATCCTTTGCGTTTTATCTGTCTTATTACAGTATAGTTTTTTATGAGTTGAATGCCTCTATAAATTTGGCATAAACATTTTTTGATGATCTGGCCGAAACAGCTGCGACAAATCGAATCGGAAATCTTTACTCAAATATTATTTGCTCGTAAAAGTTGAAAGTGCGTAGTTGGTGGACAAAAACTTGTGGAACCAGCTGTGAAACACTTTTATTATTTTCCTCACAAAAATTGTTCCATTGGGAATACATGCATACATATTTACATATATT